ACCTTCCTGATTCCTTTTGGCCCAAAGAGCTTTGTTGAGCCTGGTGTTGATCCGCTCATCTGGTATACTCATCTCCTTCATGGAAAACTTCTGAATCTCCTTAAGGGCCCGAGGACCATGCTTCTTGAAGGCGATGCCATGGGTGTATTTGTGACAAATGATGGTGACTCTCTGGTCACAACTTCATTGATAGCCTTCTCCTTCTCCCCGCCCTTCTCTGTGAGAACCACAGTGCTGGGACCCGGCTGGAAAGGAAGAGCACCAGGCAGGAATTGTGGGAGAAGGAAAACCCCTCTCAGAAGTCCAACTTTGGTAAATTGCCTCACCTTCTGTACCATTGCCTAAGTCAGTGGTGCAAGAGAAAGGCTGGACCAACGTGAAAAGGGGAATTATTTACTGGATCTTGTCACTTAAAAAAATTACAACAATGAGTGCAGCTTCAGGTGTAGCTGAAGTACAAGTGTAGGATAACTTTCTATCAACTCTGACATCTGCCATGAACTTTGTTCTCTGATAGGTTCCTACACTTGCTAGCATAATATGCTCTCCTCCTTTACCCTGCCCTTTTACCTCCCAGCACATTTCCCTCCCATAAGAGGATGGTGCTCTTCTTCATAGAATCCAGCTTCTCTGATGATTTGCTCAACATACAGATTGAGTGTGAGGAGAAGATAGAACCCTGACACCCACTATTCCTGGGTTTAAAGCACTTCTTAGCAGCTCCTTGAGGTCCAAGTGTAGTGGTTATGTGTTGGGCTGCTAACTGCAAGGTCAGCAGTTTGAAACCATAAGCCCACTCCTCCGGAGACAAGCTTTCTACTCTGATGAAGAGGTAGTCTTGGAAACCCTCAGAGGCAGTTCGACCCTGTCCTCTAGGGTTACTAGGAGTCAGCATCGACTGGATGGCAGGGAGTTCAGTTTGGGGTAGTAACGCTTGTTTTGTCCCACCGATCTGCTCTTGGCTTGTGCATACATTCTGCATGAGCGCATTGAAGGGTTCTGGAGTTTCTCAGGGTTATCCATGGTTTATTAGGATCCACACAGTTTAATGTCTTTGTAAAGTCAATAAAACACCAGCAAATAAAACTCCAGCATTTTCTGCTTACCACCAACCTCCGTCTGATGTCAGCAATAATATCCTTTGAATCCAACTTGAAGAATTTCTAGCAGCTGTCAGCTGATGGAGTGCAGCCACCGCTCTTGAACTCTCTCCAGCAGCATGGTACTTGCATGTGATGGCAATGACATTGTTGAATTATTTCTGCTTACTGTTGGAGGGCTTGCCAGATGGCTGTCTTCCAAATTCCTTGGTATAGATGAATGAGCATCCATCATTTGCTGAAAGTTTTCAATTGGTATTCCATGTATTCCTGGAGCCACGTCTTTCAGCCCAGACCTCGACCTTCAAGAAGATTGGCTCTTGATCATGTGCTAC